CGCCTGGGGGAGAAGCTCTTTTCGGGTCTCATGGATCTGTACAAAAAGGTACGCGCCCATCCCAGCACGCCCTGGGGCCGCCCGGTCATGCTCGGTTCCCCCGGAAGCAAACCCAGGGCGGCCCCTTCAACACCTGCTGCCCGGCGCCCCGCTGCCCGCACCGCCCTCGGATTCCCGCGTGGCGCGCGCTCCGAGTGGGGCAGGCGCGCGAGGCCAGGAGAGGGCGGTCCCTGCCCAGGTGAGCGCCTGCGAGGGCAAGGTGTGCCACCAGGTGGGGGGCGCATGGTGCGGATGGGTCTGCAGATCCTACCCACCACCCATTCGCGCCTCCATTCGCGCGGCTCAGCCACTCTAGGGCGGGGGTCTGCGTTCATGCAAAATGCAAAGGGCTTTTGCCGAGAACCGGGTGCTGGGCCGCGGAGATTGCTCGGGAGGCACTTCTGCTCGCCAATTAGCCTGTAACTTTGATCAGGGTGGAGGAAGGGGTGTGCGCATTGGGATTCCCAGAAGGTTACCTGTCACTCCCTATGGGGAAGAGGATGCATTTAAAATGAGCCGTTTGACGGTTATTCTTACAGTTGGAACTCATTCTCCTTAGATAATTGTTCAACAGGAAACACATTTGGCTCATTATGATGATCGTGTTAAGGAAAGTCTAAAGAAGAGATTGGGTTTTTTAAAAACCTTGAATATCAAGGTGGTGTGATATGTGTTCGCATACGGACTTCCAATACTGTAGATACAGTTTATGTATTAAACAAGCTCACCCACAAGTCTCTGTCTTATCCAGTACATTTTCATCTTTTGATTTAAAATATTTATGAGCATTGCTTTTAATTAGGTAAAGAAGAAAGTCTAGAGTTAAGTTAACCTTTTTACTCTTCTTTTGCAGATGTGAAGTGCAGACTCCCATTCACGGCTCTCCATTCTGTTTCCTGCAACAGCACACACACTGATGGTATCTCACCTGTTTGGAAATGGCTTATTTTAGTATGTTTTACTTTTAACTCCTTGGCCCTCCCATTAAGGTTCAAGAGTCCTTTCCCATTTGCGGGGGAAAAAATCTATTTAAAATACATTTCGAAGTACAGTATGATGTTTGGAGCAAAAAATGTGGAGCCTTTACAGTTATTTTGGCGAAAAATGGGGAGCCCTTACAGTTTCTTTGAAAAAATGGGGAGTCTTTACAATTATTTCTGCACGTTGTTTAGTCTCAAGTTTTTTAAGTTTTTTTTTTGTAATTTTGACTTTAGGACTTTTGCACTTTGGTTTTCATAGTTAGGAAGCAAAATAAGACTAGTGTGCTTTCTACTGATGTATTTAATAGCAAAAGAGAGACTCAGTAGTGTGTATGCTATTGAATCAAACAGAAGTGAAGGCCGGTGATTGTGTGAGAATCTGGATTTCAAATCTGCAAAAGGAAGGTGTGACAAGGTAAGTTGTTTCTGGAAATGGAATGGTTAGTGCTTTCCTTTTTTTAGGTGCTCATTGTATTTTACTTTTTAAAATTTCTTTGGTAGAGAATTGCAATTTATTTTTTGAGTTTTGGTGTATTTTGCTAATTAGTGCGTCTTATAAGCAGCAGTTTCTTTTGTTGGGGAAGCTGTTTTTATTATTAACCTTTTACACTTTAATGTTTTTGAAGTGAAAATGTAAAAGGATAATCTTAAAGTATTTTTTTAAAAAGCCATTAAGGGAAACATCAACTTTTCATTCAACAATATTTATTGAGTGCATCTGTGTGTAAGACACCCTCCCAGGTATTCCTCCTTCTTTGCGCTTCACAGGTGGTGTGGTTTTTACAAACTGAGGACAAAACCCTCCACCAGCCACACCAGCCACGGTGATTGAGTGCTTTCACAGGCACTTTCAGGGTTAGCTGATGATCCACGAGATACCCTTTATAGACTACCAAGACCATGACCGTAGTTCTCAGTTGCTTTAAAAACAGTTTGTGTCCTTTTCGAATTGGCCATTGAATTAAACCTTTAGGTATAAATAAGAGCTTCCTATTGAGTGCCTATTATGTATCCGGCATTGTGTCACATACTTTATTTAGCCTTTATAACTTTCATTTATATAGGAGAAGATTGAGGTTCATTTAATTTTACTAGTCATTTAGCTTATAAATGGATCTAAAAAGCCTAACTTCTACTTCCATGTTAAAAAGTTAGTTGGGCTGGCAAATTTTCTTTTAAGTAGTAAGTAAAGAATTGTATATTTCTGAAATTTAGTACTTATCTTGATTTCAGTAGCAGTGTGGGTAATCCATAGACTATGGTTGTTACAGCCAAGTAGATTCTTAATTTTTTTAAAAAAAATATTTTATTGATTTTTTTACAGAGAGGAAGGGAGAGGGATAGAGAGCTAGAAACATCTGTGAGAAACATCGATCAGCTGCCTCCTGCACGCCCCCTACTGGGGATGTGCCCTCAACCAAGGTACATGCCCTTGACCTGAATCGAACCCGGCACCCTTGAGTCCGCAGGCCGATGCTCTATCCACTGAGCCAAACCAGTCAGGGCAGATTCTTAATTTTTTTAAAAATATGTTTTTATTGATTTCAGTGAGGAAGGGAGAGGAAGAGATAGAAGCATAAATAATGAGAGAAGAATTCTTTGGGTGCCTCCTGCATGTGCCCTGACCCGGGAATCAAACCGTGACCTCTTGGTTCATAGGTCTGTGCTCAACCACTGAGCCACGCCGGCAGGGCCAAGCAGATTCTTTAGTCAGCTAATAGCCATGGAGTCTTCTGCCTGGAGATTCCCCATTTTCTTAGCTGTATATTGGGATGCAGAGTATGCTCTGAAGTTTTGGTTCTTGCTCGTACAGTGAGGTAGGTAGGAAAAAATTAACATTTGGGAGACTACTAAGTGCATCAATGTATGTGCTTTTCTTCGGTCTAAAAAAGGGCCAGTTATTGCTTTTATTAATTATTCTAATATTATGCATGGTACAGAAATGTCTTTTAAAGTTGCAAGAGTTGTATACCATATAGAAAGTGATCATAGAGTACAGGATTTCACATACACCTGGATTGATAAAGAGTCTCCTTTTGTTAAGCGTTTGACATTCTTCCCTTTCCTGTCATTGTATTATATTATTTTTTGGTCTGATTTTTAGAGTAAGTAGATTGAAGAACACATTTTGGGGGAGAATCTCTTTATGAAAAAATGAGCAGGACACACGTAATTAAACTGAAAGAAAAGAAAAGAAGGTGGTAGTAAGTAGTAGCTCAATCTGGACAGTGTCAGGCTTCTTGGGTTCTAGTGTTGGCCTCCAGTTAACACTGTGACTTTGGGCAAATCTGCCTCTCTGGGCTCTAGTCTCCAGTTCTTTTGAGGCTAAATCATTTTGACTTTTGGCAGTTTACTTAAGCACAAACAAGCAAACAAACTTTATGCCTCAGTTTATGTGTGTGTGTGTGAAGTGAATAGGGTGACCAGTGGTCTGGTTTTCCTGTCTCATCCTGGATTGATACTTCTTCCTCCTTTCGTTCTTCAATGTAGGTTGCTTTGGCCAATAAGTGACCCTAAAAGTAAGGGTATTTGAATATCTGGTTAGAACAGATTTTATGTATAATAGTATTTATTTGAAACTTTATAAATGCCTTTAAGGTGAGGCATGCATTCTCTAGTTTACTCTAGGCTCCTTCACTATTTTATACCCAGCCTTCTTAGGTAGATTAAATTATTTGACTACTTTTGAATTCATTAGCAATGTCTAATGACAGTAGTGTAATACTAGCAGATAAAAATAATCAACTAACCCACAAATTTAATTTGGTTTTTGTATTTCCTTTTCTTCCTTAACATTATACTTTAAAAAAATTTTTTTTCCAGGACATATTTTATTTTATGCTTTTGAAATTTTGACAGGTACATTTTGTTCATTTAGCATTCTGTATTAAGCATTCCTTCAAGTTGCTAAACTGTCTTAATGGTTATTTTAGGATAGAATAATAAGTTAGTAATTGTACCATAATTTTTAATTTTTTATTATGGGAAATGAACCTCCATGTATGTACAGTGGGGCCTTGACTTACGAGTGTCCCGACTAACGAGTTTTTCGAGATACGAGCCGTCTCTCGGCCGATTTTTTGCTTTGAGTTGCGAGCTAAAATTCGGGTTACGAGCCAGCTTCAGATACCCCACCGCTAGTTGGCGCAGCGACCATCACAGTGAACGCCACAACATCAGCCCAACATCACGTGTCTCACTTTAAGATTTGACATACGAGTACGAGCTCCGTCATGGAACGAATTAAACTCGTAAGTCAAGGCCCCACTATATTACCCTTGCTTCGATATTTTTCAACCATTAGCCAAACTTGTGTCATCATATGTCCACTCCTGGATTATTTTGAAGAAATCCTAAACATACCACTTGACTATAAATATTTCAGTATAGATCTCCAAAAAGATAAAGACTTTAAAAACTGAAACTGTACTGCTATTACCACACCTAAAATAACAGCAATTCCTTTGTATCATATCCAGTTAGGGTTATAATTTCACAGATAAGTCTTAAAATTAACATCTCAGTCAACATCTGTTTTGTTTACATCAGGATCTAAGTAAAGTTTATACATTGCAATTGGTTGGTAAGTTACATAAGATTTTTCTTCTGCAGTTCTGTCACTGCTTTTATTCGCTTGTAGTTTTTTTTGTTAAATCATAGTTTGGTAGAATTTTCCATATTCTGAATTTTTTTTCCGATGCATTCCCATAACATTTTTAAAATAGTTCTTTTCCCTCAGGAGCGAACTGAAGGGACAACCACAGTCCTGGGAGGGTCACTTTTGAAACCCTTGTTTTGAGTCATTAGAAATGATGTGGAAGTCTCTTGTCTACTGGCAAACTTTTAGACCTATCCCTTAAATACACCTCCAACTTCAGTAATTCCAAACAGAAAAATTTAACCGGTCAAGATTATCTGCAAAGGCAAGAGTTTTCTCAGCTTTCTCAACAGGGACAGTATTTTCCTGGGACCTATGGTTTCTGTCTATGCAGAGGGATCATTTAAATTGTTTAGTACTGTTTTCCATATCTTAAAAATAATTATAAAATAATTATATGAAATCCTGAAAAATCTTTCTGAATTCCATTTTTTGGACCTGACATAAATTAAGAAATCATGAAATAAATGCTAATGCTTAAAAATCCTTGTGCATTTTAATTTTGTGATACATGTTTATTAAAGGTTGTAGTTCAGAACTGGAAGATCACAACATTTTACAAATGTTGACTTTTTGTGTGTGTATGTGGTATTTTGTTGCATAAAAAAAGAATTGGAAGTAATTTCTTTAGAAAACTTCAGATTTCTCTAAGTTCTTAAAGCAATTTGTAGAAAATTTACTTGTTATTTAAGAAAATATAAACCAAGACAATGATTTTTTTTCTTTACAGAGACCATGAAACCTATGGTGCAATAGCCCTACTTTTGGTGGGAAAAATATACAGCCATTCTGGTGAAGCAGTGAGTAGTGGTGTCAGTAGCTTATGCTAAGCATCCAGGTTGAGAATTTAGGCCCTCAAGTAGTATGCTTGAATGGTTATGTGGAGTTGTACATATTTGAAACACTTAAATATTTGTTGGTGATTATTCTGCTCATATCCCGAGGTGTTGAGAAAGGCCTCACACAGTAAAATAGCATGGAGGAAAGTGCTGATCACTTTCTGGCCCAGACAGCTGTAGGGACACTTAGTACGATGCTAGTATACATGTACTGTATTGAGAGGGAGCTAGCACTTCGATTGTATGTTGGACTGATGATTTTTTGGAAGTGATTAATTGTTGGATATTAAAAGCCTAGTTTGAATCTGAGTAAAGAATCCTGTAATATCATGGCATTAAATTTTATAACTAAACCTTATAAACTGGATAACAAGATGTGTTATATACCAACTGTGCCAGGCATGTTTTATTGGACTTGGGATTTTTAATGAGGTTAATTTTCAACCTTTTTTGCGTGTAAATAAGACCATACTTCACTGTGTATTGTGCTCTTGATGCAACTAAGTTTAATCTTCCTAAGATTAAACTTTTCTGTGTGGGGCTTTAAAAAAGGTTGTTGTAGCATGTGCTCATCTTCTCTGTTAAGACAGTTATTTTCACATTGATAGAGAATGAAAGATGTCCTTAGTGGTTTATTTGTGCCTATAAAGCATATCCTTATTTCTTTATACTTATTCGCCCTGTTCTCCTTAAATTCCCAAACTAATTTAGGCACACATTACCAGAAGAACACAGCTTGCCCTAGTGACAGATCTTGCAAGAAAGTGAGTGGAGGTTAAGTTACACTCTGGGTGGATTTAATATAGAATGCTTTCGCTAAACACTTTTGGGCAGTGGGCCTCAAAACAAATGTACATAAGATTTCTGAGCTCCTCTCCATCACTTTGCATTTTTAACAAGGTGATTCTCAGACCATATTTGGAGATAATTTTTTTAGGGGGTGAGGGATTGTTTTGCCAAAATAGTAGAATGATAAATTGTTAAACCTGTTTTAAAAGTTACTGGTTAATTTCAAATGGGTGTAATTACAAAAAAGCAATACATTTGGGGATGGGCCACTTAGGTGGCAGATGTAAATCCTTATTACAGAAGTGGTAACTAAACTTGCAAATAGTTTAAGTCTGGTTGCCCACTAGAAATTTCGGGAGACCATAATTTTTACCTCTTTACCTTTGGTCCAATTTTGTATGGTCACTTTACTGCAGAATAGTGTTTTTCAGCTTTTGAAAACTTGGACCTCTTAGAATAATTGATTATACTTTTCTGCATATTCCCAACATCTAAGAAGGTTGCCAAGCTTTACTTTCTGTAATTAATAGTAGCTACTATGTATTTTCCACTCTTTTTATTTTATTTTTTAATCCTCACATAGGGTTATGTTTTCATTGATTTAAGAGAAAAAAACATTGATTGTGAGAGAGAAACATTGATTGGCCGGCTGCCTCTCTTATGCACCCCACGGTGGTTATGAGGGGATGGAACCTGCAGTTTGAGTATGTTCCCTGACCAGGAATCCAACTTAAAACCTTTTGGTGTACCAGACGGTCCAACCAACTGAGCCACTGGGTTAGGGCTCTATTTCCCACTCTTATGCAGGCATTGTGCCAAGCACTTTGTATACATTGTTTCATTTTACTCTGGAACATCCAATGAAGTTAAATTCTAATCTCATTTCACAGATAAAGGGAGATTTAAATAAATTGCCTAAAATATAGATGACAGATATTAGTAGGTGTATTGACAGTGATATTTTGAATGATAGACTGTTCTCTAAGGTTTGAAAACAATCCTGTTCTAATACATTTGACTATATTTTATCACGACCATTTTAGCTTATGATTTTGGTGGGGCTGTTACTTTGGTAGGTAGAAATGATAGACCTCCCTGTTCCTCACTGAACCAGGGAACAGCCACTGCTTTGAAGATGTGAATTGCTCTTTAGTTCAGTTTAGTGACCTCTTTGGGCATTTTGGAAATGGCGTTTCTTCTTCATATGTGGTCCTGGATCTTAGATTAGGTAGCCTTCATTTTGCCTTGGTTGGCCTGGCCCTGGCAACAGTGGAGTCCCACTTGTTTTTGAGAGCAGTCAGATTTGGAGCTCCTAGAGCACAAGATCAGAATTTAAGAGTTGGATGATTGCATTAGAAAAGGATTTTAAAGACTAACATACAATAAGTTGCTGGAAAACCTGTTTATTGTAAAACTAGAGGCCCGGTGCACAAAAATTTGTGCACTTGGGAGGGTCCCTCAGCCCGGCCTGTGCCCTCTCGCAGTCTGGGACCCCTTGGGGAATGACCACCCACTGGCTTAGGCCCGATCCCCGGGGGATTGGGCCTAAGCTGGCAGTCAGAAATCCTTCTGGCAGCCTGGGAACCCTTGGGGGATGTCCACTTGCCAGCGGGGAGCAGGCATAGCTGCAGTTGGACATTCTTAGTGCTGCTGAGGAGGCGGGAGAGGCTCCCACCACCACTGCTGTACTGGCAGCCATCAGCCTGGCTTGTGGCTGGGAGCACACTGACCACCAGGGAGCAGCTCCTGCATTGAGCGTCTGCCCCCGGTGGTCAGTGTGTGTCATAGTGACCAGTCATTCCCAGTCTTTCTGCTGTTAGGGTCAATTTGCATATTACCCTTTTATTATATAGGATAGGAAAAGGGATATAAATGGATTACATTCCATTTTTTAAAAAGTTCATCTGTTGACATACTTAGACTGTTGTGTGATTGTCCCTACTGGACATAATAACAAAAGAAATACTGAAAGTACATAAAAATCACAATGGAAACATAGGAAACTTAAAACTGCTTGTAATAGTATCTTAGAGCCAGGACCAAGTGTTTGAAAACTGTGATGAGTATTTACATTAATAATTAAATAGGTCCTTTAGCATTTCTGGGAAAAAGTCAAGTATGTTGCTCTAAGACAGTGGTTCTCAACCTTCCTAATGCTGCGACCCTTTAATACATTGTTTGCGGGTAGTTTTTATCGCGCGCTAACAGATGGCGCGTGGCGCGGGCCATTTTTGCTAATTTTTTTGCGCAAATGGCAACGTTCAGTAAAATTACGATAACTTTAGTTTACGTATTTATACATTACCCGCATTCTACCGCTAGTCTATAAAAAAACGTATAAATACGTTTCCCGTGCTCTACTTACTACCAGTCAACGTAAAACGTATAAATAAGTTTCCCACATACAATGTGTTTAATAGAGTTCCTTATGTTGTGGTGACCCCCCAACCATAAAATTATTTTCGTTGCTACTTCATAACTGTAATTTTGCTACTGTTATGAATCGTAATGTAAATATCTGATATGCAGGATGTATTTTTATTGTTACAAATTGAACATAATTAAAGCATAGTGGTTAATCACAAAAACAACATGTAATTATATATGTGTTTTCCGATGGTCTTAGGCGACCCCTGTGAAAGGGTCATTCGACCCCCAAAGGGGTCGCAACCCACAGTTTGAGAACCGCTGCAATAAGTGATATACAAAAATGTGAGTCAAGATGTGTCTGCTCCGAGAAATATATTTTGCTATTTTTTTAAAAATATATTTTATTGATTTTTTACAGAGAGGAAGGGAGAGAGATAGAGAGTTAGAAACATCAATGAGAGAGAAACATCGATCAGCCGCCTCCTGCACACCTCCTACTGGGGGTGTGCCCACAACCAAGGTACATGCCCTTGACCGGAATCGAACCTGGGACCTTTGAGTCCACAGGCCGACGCTCTATCCACTGAGCCAAACCGGTTATTGCTATGTTTTGCTATTTTTGTGGCCATTATCATTTTTGTGTGGTTATTTAATAATTCGTTATGATTTGAACACTATACAGATGTTATTACTATTTTTGCTTTCAAAAAGACTGAAGCATAAGTGTTTTTCTCTATAGTTTCCATTAATTATCAAGGTAAATTTTTATTTATTTTTCTCAATCACACATACACAGAGAAACACCATCAAGGTAAATTTTTTAAGAGGATCATTAGAAGGTACATGATTGGGAGCTTGAAATCTAAATTATTAGAGTTTAACTTCTTTTCCCCCACCTTCCAAAGCTACATGTGATTTTATAAGAGGATTGAATAGACTTTTTAAAAGATTGAGTAAATTTTTATGGTTAGAGAGATGTTCTGTAAGACCTTTATGCTGCTGCCTTCCCCACCCATTAATTTAAAAAGGTATTACCTGGTATTTTGTTCATAATTGGTGTATGCTTTGTTTTTATGTTGCTAAAGTCATCCTCCCTTCTCACCTATTGTAGTGCTCATAGACCTTGCAGATTGTCCTTGTAATACCTGGGGCTTTTAACTAACAACATCATCCATTTACTTACAATTAATAAAATTTAATACATTTTAATTTTAATATAGTATAGTTCTTATATATTGTGCCGACTTACTGTGTAGTAGGCCCTGTAGTAAGCTATTATGTATATTCTTTAATTTTGGTGACAATTCTATCAAGTTACTTAACTGCAATTAACATCCTAAAGCTCTGAAAACTGAAATTTTTGTTACTTTTTTGGTGGCAAAACCTATCATGACCTGAAATTATGTGAGGCTATTAGATCTATTTGTCCCATTTAGTGTGGTTCTTCATTTCACTAGTGAAATATTGATATGCTTGATAATAGGGTGCTTATTATCTTTTGCAAACAAGAAAAATCATGAATTGGGAAGCCTGTCTACATCAATGGAATTCGGAAAAGAACATGTGGACAGCTGCTCTGCTCCCTTAGTGGGGAAGCGGGGTGGGGGAGAGGATGAGGAGAGGCAGTAGTTAGGAACCTGACGGGGATTACTGCTTAGATTCATATCCTGGCTCTGCTGCTTACAACAGTGTGTTCTTGGGAAGATCACTTACCCTCTTTATTTAGTTCGTTCAACTATAAAATGGGGATAGAAATAGCACTTTAATAGGGTGGTTGTGATGATTCTCAGTTAATGTAGATGAGTACGTATTTAGAATAGTGCACGCCACATACTGCTGTAAGTGCTACTACGTGGTAGAACTAGGATGAATGTGACAACAGCTAATATAGTCACTTAATATGGGTTGGCTTGAATAGCCAATCAACCTAGATCCTGTTGTATTGTGGGCTATAGTATAATTTGCATCTTTAAAATATCTTGAAAGAATCTATAGAAACTTCAGGTAATACTGGCAAAATATAACTCTCCTCTTTAAATTAATAAGGAAAGATGATGTTTTACTAAGGATGAGATAACTAGGAGTTGCTTGCAAAATGGAAGGTGGGAGATGTTTCTCAGTAGTTTTTCTCACTAACCCCTGGGGCAGATGGCTTTATGAGGAAATTTTGGTCTTTGTCATGAAGAGAAAGTTAAAATCTTTTTCTTTTTTTTAAAAAATATATTTTATTGGTTTCTTACAGAGAGGAAGGGAGAGGGACAGAGAGCTAGAAACATCGATGAGAGAGAAACATCGATCAGCTGTCTCCTGCATACCTCCCACCGGGGATGTGCCCATAACCAAGGCACATGCCCTTCACCGGAATCTAACCTGGGACCTTTTGTCCACAGGCTGACGCTCTATCCACTGAGCCAAACCAGTTAGGGCGAAAGTTAAAATCTTAATAGGGAAATTGTTCTTACAGTCTTTCTGCTTCCTGTATTCCTTTAACACTTAATCGAAAATGGCTCCCTTTTGAGAATGACACATTTCAAAATTAAGGAAAGGAAATTTTTTTGTGCTCTTTGTACTTATTAAATGATAGGACCTGAGTAGTATAGCTGAG